AGGAAAACAAAGCCAGGGGAGGATTTGGAACAGAGGAGTCACGCTATGACTGGCGTTTTCAAAGGCAGTAGCAGGAGGAGGTGAGAAGTGGGTGGAGTCTGGAAATGGTAAAGATAGAGCCAGGATGTGGGGGTTGGAGCCACAGCTGGGAGAAGGAGGTTGGCATTAGCCGAGGTGGAAGACTGCAGAGCAGGTTGGGAGGGAGGAGCAGGATTTGCTTTTAGAGAAGTTGAATGTGAGATGCCTGTGGAGCTCCACATGGAAATGTGGGAGGGGAGTTGTTGGATAGGTGAGTCTGGGTTCAGGGACAAGGTCCTGGCAGGAAATGTAAAGCTGCGTTCATCAACATGTGGAGGGAATTTAAGCTGTGACTCCCTAAGGGAACGGAGGAGGATAGAGAAGAGGAAAGGCCCAAACAGAGCCCTGGGCACCCCAGTCTTTAAAGGCTTAGAGATGAGGAAGAACCAGCAAAGGCAGCTGCAAAGAGGCAATCACAGGGTCCGGAGGAGGAGCAGGAGGAAGAGTGGTGCCGCCCTCCGCCTTCCCACTTTCCCTCTCAGATGTTTCTGGAGCTTGAAGATGACTCTGATGCAGACTAGAGCTCCTGCTAGTAGGGAGGGGCAAGGACAAGTAAATCGATGATTCCTTTGCGGTGTGATAAGAATGGGGGAGCACTTGTGCGAGAGATGGGGGTAGACAGCTTGGGGGCATCCAGTGTGGCCCCGGAGGGCCCAGGGAACAGTTCTCATGGAAGAGAGTCAGGGAGGCTGAGACTCTGTGTGGACCATGGAGTGGAGATCACAGTGGCTTCATGGGCCAGGAGTGGGCTCTAGATTTCCACAGGAGAAGAAGGTGGGGTGGGCAGGCAATCCCTAGCTATTTGTAGAAGTGTCACAGAGCATGATGGGTGGCCCATTTGGGTTGGGGTCTCTGGCCTTTGGGGTTGCTTGGAGACAAGGAGGGGAAGAGGTACAAGAGAGGCCATGAGAACCTTTGACCTCAAAGAGACAAAGCCCCACAGTGCAGAGTGGGAGGAGGTTGGCTGGGCAGGATCAGGGAAGGTTGCCAGGAGGAGGCAGGCTTTGAGGAATGTGTGGGCACTGAGTATGCCCAGATGCACAGAGAAGCTTTCTTGGCAGAGGAGACCATACGCGCGAAGGCATGGAGGCCAGAGCTTGCAGTATGTATCCAGGAAGCAGAGCTCGATGGCAGATGAGATTAGCCAGACCTTTGGGAGTCAGACCCCGAAAAGTTTTACCTCCTTATTGCACGGTTACTGGGAAGCCATTACAGGTTCCTGAGGTGAGGAGGGACACAGTGGGATCTGCTTTTAGGAAGACAAGTCAGGCAAAATGTACAGGGTGAACTGGAAGAAAAGGGAGGGGGTCCCGGAGGTAGGATACCCAGGTCAGGGGTGGTGATGACCTCAGCAGTAGATACAGGTCGGTCCCATGTGACTCTTCTCCTCTAAGTTGGGCCAAGGGTTTTTGAAAATTGCAGTCTCAAGACCAGACTGCCCTGCAGGATGCAGGAGAGGCCAGAAATGCAGGAGTGCCCAGGCCACCGAGGCTCCAGAGGACTGTGTGAGAGCTGCCCAGGCCAGTTAGAGGGAAGGAGGACCACACTTCTATTTACTAAGTTAAGCTCACATGGACCCAACATCTTGGGTACTTTCTGTCCACTGCCTCCGTTTAACCCTCCCTGCAGCCTTATGAGGCGGGTTCCACTGTCATCCCATTTGCAGATGAGGCACATGAGGCTCAGAGAGGTACGAAGCTAGTATGTGATGGAGCCGCTTTGAACCTACATCTCCCTGGTTAGACCAAGGTTTCAAGATGAGCTAAGGAACCACAGAAATAACCAAGAAACTGATTTGTCAAGTATTTGCTCTGTGCCAGGCAAACACAGATGTCCTTATCAGGTGTATATGATGCATTTATCCAGCCAGGCTCAGGAAGAAACCTGCATTGTGTCCCTAATACTCTAGCTCAGTGGTCCAACTTCATTTACAGGTGAGAACTTTGACACTTAGAACAAATGTGTTGCTGGCCTGAACTGAGATTTGAATCCAGAGCTATGTTCTTTTAAGACCTTCACTTCCTCCAGCCCTGGCAGGAGGAGTGAGGAGTGGGTCCTTTGTGAGCAGCAAGTGTTCAGAGCTGGAGTTGGGGGAGTGAGCCAACCCGGAACCCGCCCCAGGCTTCGGCCCAGTCCAAGCTCGCTGCCAGACTTTTGTGCCCTGCTGGTTCTTTGCATATCATGGGTCTCCTCACTGAGTGGCCATGTGTCTTCCCCCCTCGGGAAGCTGCTCAGGCTGCCACAGGTACAAGTAGAGTTGAATTCAGAATAGGGCCCTCTTTCCTGCCCAGCCTGGCCGCTGAGTAACCTCTGGCCTGGAATGAAAGGCTTTCCAATAAGTGCCTTGCTGGCCTACCGCCCAGCTATGTGGTAGGTGGGTGTGAGGGTGAGAGATATACCGAGAAGGATTCAGGAACCTGAGAGCAGGGGCAGAATCTTGCCAACAAATCTCTTAGCAAGCTGCCTTCTCAGCTGACGCCTCTAGAGGGTTTGGGAATGAGAGCTGGTCACGAGGAGCCCTGGCCACCTTCCTGCCCAGCCAAGGGCCAGGGCCTCTGGGCTCAGGCTCAGCCCAGGGGAAACAGGTCCCCTGGGGTGAAAACACTAGGCAGCCCAGGGCAAGAATATCGGAAATCAGATATTCTGGGCCATCTCTCCCTTGACCTTGAAGAATGCACAGCACACAGTGTGGGTTTCTCTCCAAGCCTTCCTGCTCAGAGCAGTCTCTGGCCCCTGCCAGGGTGGGGCAGGGTCTGCCGTCAGATCTGATATTGTTTTCACAAAGAGCTGGAAGGCATCCTTGTCATGAAAAACACATCACGCTCGAGGGGGGCTGGGGTCCACTCCTCCCTTGGCCTAAAGTCTCATCTTGGGGTATCCCAGCCCTGCTCTGTGGCCCTCATCTATGACATGAAGGGGTTGGGCAGACGGATCTCGAAAATCCCTTCAGGCCCTTAGGAAATCTAAGGCTCTGGCGTAATAGCCGGCCTCTGTGGCCTGGGCGTGTCTCATCAGTGTCCGTGCCTGAGCACCTCAGGAAGGCAAAGAGTTCCCTTTGACACCTACAGGGGAAGCAGCTGGGATAAACCCGAAAAGGTTCCACTTTGTTCAGCTTCGGGTATGTTTTCCTACAAAGTCCTTCCGTATTGGCGGGGTTGACATTCTAGAAATTCAGCCCAAAGCCCTCCCAGGTGACTCCGGATTGGGAAGCCCCTCTCTTCCCCAGCCCTCTCTTTCTTCCGCTCTGTCTTGCAAATCCTCCCTTCTGGAAATGGATTCTTTAACCTCCAGCCTTATCTTTCTCCCAACTTCTCCCTGATCTCCCTCTGGACATTTTCCAGGCGATGCCCTTTACCACCTGTCTTGGGAGGTGGTTAGGTGTTTGAGTTTCAGAAGGATTCTCTGCCTGCAAAGTCAACACAAGTGAGTAGTTAGGGCACACTAACTAAGGAGACGAGGTGCTATCTGAACGCAGAAGTGCCCACAGAGATGGCTGGAGACTAGTGGGACTCAGCGCTGTCAGCGAGCTCTGGAGTTCCACTGGGAAGGCCCAGCCTGCTCATCTCAGTGCTTCGAGCCCCTTGCAAGGAGGGTGTTGAGGGAACAATCACTTCTCCTAAGCTATCCTCTGGTCCCTAAAGGAAATGGCTGCTGACTGCAATGACTATAGTAGCAAGGAGCTGATGGGAGGCTGCAGTCACCTCTTCCAGGAAGCCCTTTACCCTCCCTTCCTCCTTCACAGTCCTCTACTCTTCAGCCTCTGGTTGTACCACATGGGGAGGACTTCCTCCTCTTCTCTCTAGTTTGTGGTCTGGAAAATTCCTTTTTGCACATTTTTCTCAGCCTTTATTCCCAGGACAAGATTGAAGTCCCGATGGCAGGGGCCAGGCTTCATAGCTCATGCGTGTGTACTCACTGCCCAGAGCAAGCATCACTATGAAAATCTTTGGTTTGTGGATTTGTGTGGTTTCTTTGGCCAAACTTTCTCCCCCCCTTCCCCCTTTTTTTTAATGGAAATAAATTTCTCACTATAAAAATAATTCATGGTTGAAGGAATCAGAAAGCCTGTAATGCCAGCATTGGGACTGACTACAGAATCATGTCCTGCCAGATAGTTCTGTGCAAACACATCCACATTTGACATACGATAAAGAAATTATACTGTGATTTTCAATTGTTTTTACAGTCTACTTTTTAGGAATGATTTTATTAATTTTTTTTTGAGAGAGAAACATTGACTGAACCCACAATCTATGTATGTGCCCTGACCTGGAATCGAACCCTGCCACCTTTTGGTGTGTAGGACAATGCTCCAACCAACTGAGCCACACTAGCCAGGGCAAATACCCTCTTTTATATTTGAGCTACAATTCATATAACTAATCCCTAACACCCTAAGGGCTCTGACTTGGACCTGGGATGTTCCCCCCATTATATATGATACTGCAATAAATACCTTCCTAAGAAAATATTTACGAACATCTTTATATTTTTTTTCTTAGATGGAATTGAAGAGCTAGAGGACTGGCATTTTTGTTAAAACTGTATAAGCCAAATGTCAGTTCATCCTTGCCCCCATCATCACAGAGGAGTGGTAGGTGCCCGGCCGGCACTGAGGATGGACTTGCTGGCACCTATCAGTGGCCCCAGGTCTGGGAAGTGGCTCAGCCCATGAACTCAGTCTCCCCTGCCCACTGCCTGCCCTTTACTGCCCTGAGGAGCAGCAGCCCCGGGGGGACACTGGGTTCTGAGCTTGCCTTCCAATGATGGTAGTACTGGATTCTCCCTGGATTGTTCCTGAGCTGGCCTTGGCCTTGGAGACTGCCAGGCATTTAGAGGAGACTGGGGAACGGTGGCGTGTGTGGCTGCATGGGAAGGGAAAGAATGGCCCTGGATCACACCTTCGATCTTCTGTGCTGCAGGAGGCCTCGGCGGGGCGACGGTCATTGACTCCCTTGACACCCTCTACCTCATGGAGCTGAAGGAGGAGTTCCAGGAGGCCAAGGCCTGGGTTGAAGAGAATTTCCACCTGAATGTGGTGAGTCAGAGCCCTTGGGGTGTTAGGGCCAGAAGCAGCTGGAGAGGTCATGGCCCCACCCTGTCATCTCTGCGGCCCAGAGGTGTGGAGGCTCTGGCTCCAGGCTGCCAGCAGAGCAGTCCAGCTATGACCCTGCCTTCCCCTCTGTGGGGCTCCAGGCACGGTGCTCACACCCAGGAAGACCCATCCAGGGCCGCACCTGCCACAAAAGCAATAGGGGAAGTGACTGTGGAGAAGTGACTAATCTGCTCAGAGCGGCTCTTAGCCTGACCCTCCTCCCTCCCCTCACCCTACCGTGCTGCCCTCCTGAGCTAGCTGAGAGGCTACGAAACCTCTTGGTTTCCAGCCTCGCAGGTATCCCTGGTCAGGGACCAGAACCGTGGGGAGGAGATGGTAATGTGTCTGGAGAGCACAAAACGCTTCACTGCCAGACCTCACCCCCACTGCTCTCCCAGCCCAGACTAAAGTAGCCAATCCATCCTGGAGGTCTCTGCTCACATGGGCAGAGGCTGCTTAGATGGATTTGGGGAGCAAGAAATTGCGACAGATAGGAGAGGGGACCCATTAGGCTCCACGAGTGAGAGGTCCTGGAGGGAATGGGCTGGCTCCTGCAGCTCATGGAGAAGTGAGGCCAATATCAGCACAGAGGGGGCAGAGAGAGCAACAGGAAAGTCTGGGAGAGCAGCGCTGCAGGGGTGCTTCCCTGGCTCGGCAAGTGCCTGGGGGAGGCCAGCCTCCCTGGGCCTTAGAAATTACACGGCAGCCACAGTAATGATGCCCAGCATGCAGGCTTGTGAGCTTTAACTATCATGGAGGTTGTAAAAAGCATTTTATAACCATGAAGTCCAACCCAGATCTAAGTGGTGCCGTTATTATCATCATCACCATCATGATTATTTTGAGGCTCGTTATGGCCTTGTGTGAGGAGAGGAGTTTAGAATCCAGGTTCCTACTGCGTCGAATGGAAGAAAGGCAGAGGTGGAGGAGGGAGGTGTCTTCCTAGACTCACCTTGTTCCTCTGGAGATGCGGGGTTGAGAGTGGGCGTCGGGCAGCTGCCTGAGGAGCCAGATGAGGACATTCAGGCAGGCTGGGCAGGTTAGGGTGTCTCCCTGGAAGAAAGCAAGACATGGTCACTGCCCCTCTCTGAGCCTTGGCTTTCTCATGTGAAAAATGGGAGTGATGGCACCACCATGCATTGTGAGGCTAACGGAGAGAGAGTATGGCTCGGTCAAGGGGAAAGCTCTCCCAGATAAAGGGATGACCATTGTTCTTGTCATTAATGAAAGGCCATGACATGGGAAGTGCACCAAGGAGAGCCCTGGGGGAGCGGAGGCTACAGCAGGCACCTTTCTGAAGCCTCTCCTGGCACTGGGCGCTCCGAATGGCACCACTCAGCCGCTCATCTCTGCCCGGCCCTGCCCTGCCCGGGACCAGGCTCCGGGAAAGGGAAGGCTGAATGTCTTGCTTCTTCCCAAAGCCGAGGAAGTGGCTCAGGCAGATTTTCACCCAGATCTGGTCCTTGGCATGATGCCCAACACCCCTGATTTACAGACAACACTTCAGAGAGAAAATAACAATGATTCTGTAAGGTTGGGCGTGCCCCTGGGGCTGCAGCTCCAGCAGAGAAATTGCTGTTTACCTACAAGCATCTGCTTGGCGCACCTCCCTCTCAGTCTCAGCCCTGCCCCGTGTGCCCCAAAACCTCCTCTGAGACCCTTCCTCTTGCCCTGCCACCTCAAGGAAGGGTCACACCACCTTCCTGCTACGCCCAGCGTCCTGGCTAGAGGAAGATTGCCTCCCCTCAGGGTAAGCTACAGCCAGCAGCTCCCCATGTGGGTTCTTAAGCTCCTTGGAGAGCAGCCAGGCAGAACTTTGCTCTGATGGCCTCAGCAAGGGCTGGGGCAGGAAGCCAAACCCGGTGTTTATTTGGGATGTTGTAAATGTGCAGTGGCTGCCCGGTAGGTGCCTTTTGTTCTCAAATCCACCACTGCATCTGGGGAACCAGCCCAGGTGCAGCCAGATCAGCAGGGTGGGATGGGGTGCTGTGGTGTGTGACCAGCAGGCATCTCACAGTGTCCCCACTGCCCTGCCCCTTCTTTCTGCCCTGCAGAGCGGAGAAGCATCTTTGTTTGAGGTGAACATCCGGTACATAGGAGGACTCCTCTCAGCCTTCTACTTGACGGGAGAGGAGGTGAGTTGGTACTTCCGGCACCTGGACCTTCCCATCTGGAAAGAGTTTGGGAGAACATCCATCCCATCCCCTCACTTCCCCACTGAGGAGACAGGATCCAAGAGGACTTGCCCAGGGCTACCCACGCCCCCCACCTCCGTGATGCCACCTGCAACCTCTTCTGTCTGGTGCTTCTATTCTGCTGCCCCAATGGTAGTAAATTCTCTAAGGACAACGACTAGGTCTGCTCATCATCCGGGCAGTTCGTTACAAGGCGTGCAGCCATTCCTGGGCTCGGTGTGGGCTTGCAGAGTGCTGGTTTGGTTATTGCAGGTGCTGGTTCGCACAATGGATGGAGCCAAGACCATTGTTTTGCCATTTCTACCCAGGGGCCCCTCAGTCTTGTTCTATATTCCACAACTTCCCTTTGCCCTCCTTTCTGGGCCAGATACTAGCTCCAGGTCTCAGGGGCAGTAGGGAAGATGGAGCAGCCACATGTTGTAAATACAGGTGCACTGCGCTGCCTTCCAGAGGGCCATGGGCACAGTCCCCACACCACCCCTGCTGGTGGCCTCAGCAGGTCCCTATTCCCATCCCTGGGCCTCACTTCCTTCTCTACCATGGGATGGTCCTAGTCCCCCCTGGAGTCAACAAGTCTTGTGAATGGAGCTGGTCCTTTGGCCTGGGCTCTTTCCTTTCCTCACATTCCCCCTCTCTGTCCACCCAGAAATGAGACATTGAGCCTGTGGGGGGCCGTGGAGACAGCTGCTGTCTGAGAGTCAGTTTCCTTTCACTTCATTTAAGGCACACGGGCTGAAGCCGAGAATTTAGAGGCGGCAGGCATGCGCTTTATCTCTCCGGTCGCTTTAGGCCTCTCTCCATCAAAAATAATCTCCTCAGCGGAGATTACCGCTTGTACCAATTTGTCCCCAAATAATTGTAGATGGGAGCCCTGGGCTTGGAGCCACCCAAGGCCTGGATTTCATTTGAAAACCCCAGAATAGGAAATGACACATGGCACAGAAAAAAGCATTCGTGTTCTTCACGGGCCCTTGCCCACCTCTGTCTAGGTTGTGGGAGGAGGGTTGGATGCAGGGAAAGGGAGGCAGTAATACAGAGGGCTTATGGGGCTGGTGTGGGGGCCAGCGGCTCAGGATGGAGCTGGTGCTCCCCAGACATGCTGTCCCTCTCTCCCTGCTCTGAGGTGTCTGGGATTCTGAGAAGTTGTTCTGAGGCCTCGGCTCCCTAGAAGGATTGTCAACCTGTCTTTCGAGAATGCAGACCAGACAGTGGGATGTGGATAGGAGCACCTGTGACTTAGAAATATTGTAGTTTAAAAGGCCCAAGGAGAGGCCAGGTGGCTCCGAGTCCCTGAGCAGGCAGGCTCCTACCTTCCAGCCACGCCTTCCTAGTCCCCTCTGTCCCCAGCACCTCCAGGTGGCAAAGATGGGGCATGTGCACCGTGTCCTCTTTCCTCAAACAGCCCATGGATTGATGTCTTCACCCACTTGCAGGTGGAGGATCTGAGACCTAGAAGTCACTTGCTCAGGTCACAGGCTCTGAGGCTATTTTGAAACAACTTATGACCCTGTGACCTCTCTGCCATGGGCCCTTATTCAGCCTGGCCCAGGGTCACCCTCCTCTCAGTCCTTCATTTCTCACACAGAAGGTGCCTGTGGAGTGAGGCTTTCTTAAAGGCTCCCATGAGTATTTGCAGAATGAACTGTGAAAGAGACCCCCCTCCTGGGCTGAGGCCTTTCTTTGCTTCAGAGGGAACCTGTGGGAGAAGAGTCCCTTGCTGGGTAGCCAGCCCTACAGACACTCCCACAGGAACCACAGGCACAGCCACAGCCACACCAGGTGGCATTGACATAGCACTTTACAGTTTACATAGCACGTTCACTATACATATCCTCTTATTTGATGTCTAGAAGGACCCTGTGAGCTGGGGTAGCAATACTCGTATCTGACAAAATAGACCTCAAAGTGAAGGCCATAACAAGAGATAATGAAGGCCACTTCATAATATTAATATAAAGGCATGAATACAAGAGGATATAACTCTGGTAAACATATATGCACCCAATACAGGAGCATCCAAATACATTAAAAAAAAAACAAAAAACTTCTGGATGATATCAAGAGAGAGAACGACAACAATACAATCATAGGAGGGCACCTTAATACCCTATTGACATTATTGGGTAAATCTTCTAGACAGAAAAATCAACAAGGAAACAGCAATCCTAAATGACTCACTAGATCAGATGGAACTAATTTCAGAACATTTCACCCCAAAGCTATAGAATAGACATTCTTCTTAAGTACACACTATTTTCAAAGATAGACCACATGTTAGGACATAAACTAAGTCTCTACAAATTCAAGAAGATTGAAATCATATCAAGCATCTTCTCGGATCATAATGCCATGAAATTAGAAATCAACTACAATAAAAAGTCAAAAGCAATAGGAGGACCCTGTGAAGCAGCCAGAGCCATCACCATTCCATTGTGTGGATGAGGCTCAGAGACAGTGCGTGGCTTACCCACGGTCACATGTCTGCTAAGTGGCTCCCAGAACAGTGTCCGTTTCACTCTACAGAATGTAGTTCTTGCTGCCTTCTTTCATCTCTTTCTGGAGCCAGTAGGCCACTGCCCGTTGCTTACCGTGGCTGCCCGAGGCCTTTCTGTGTTGGAAAGGCAGCTTGGTGTCCTGGAAAAGAGTCACTTCACAGCTCCTCCTCTCGGGCAAATTGCTTTGCTGAGACTCAGTCTAGTCCTTCTCCAAGTGGGTCAACACCTTGCCCTCGGCGGCTGCAAGGGATGAAGGTCCTGGAGAGGAGACACCTGGCACACTGCGATGTGTGACTTAGGAGAAAAAGGTATTTGGTCTTCATCCTGTTCCTGGGCACAGAATTCCTAAAACCATAGGCATTTCCCAAGCGATGACAATAAGTGCTTTTTGTTACGTTATTGAGGTGACTTTTGGGCCCCAAGTAGGATGGAGGCTGGTTGCCAGGAGTAACAGCCATGCAATTAGAGGGTTGGAGCTTTCAGGCCTTCAAGGAGGGGAGAGGGCTAAAGGATGAGTCAGTAGCCAGTGGCCAGTGATTCCATCCGTCGTGCCTGTGTGATGAAGTCTTCATGAACACCCAAAGCACTGGGTTCTCCACGCTGCTGGTTGTGAGCAGGTGGGGGGCTGGGGAGAGTAGACTCAGAGCACAGAGGCTCTGTGCCCAGCCCCATGTCTTGCCCTGGGCCTCTTCCATCTGGCTGTTCCTGAGTTATATCCTTTTATAATAAACTGGCTCAGTAAGTAACACGTTTTCCTGAATTATGTGAGCTGCTCTAGAAAAATAATCAAACCCAAGTTGGGGTTCCTGGGTAACACCTGCTCTTCTGTTGGCAGCTAAAGAATGGGGGGGAAGGGGGCGGTCTTGTAGGCCTGAACCATTAACACGGAACCTGATGCTCTCTCCATTGAAGACAGCGTCAGAATTGAGTTGAATTCTTAGACGTGGAGCCGGTGTCTGGAGACTTGCTTGGCAGTATGGGGGAACTTCCACACGTACATTGGAATTGGGTTCTGAACCCCTTACACACCATTCACTTCCAAGATGACAAGGAGGAAAGTGGTCCTGCCGGGGTCTTTTCACGTCTACAAGGGTTTAAGAATCTGGAGAAGAGGGTGTGCATTAATTAATTGAGAAATTAGAGAAGAAATATGGATTTGGAAGGCATTTTGGGGTGCCAGATGGAAACTTAGTTCTAGCGACTAAGCTCCCCAAATCTCCAGACCCCTGGCTCTTTATTCCCACATTTTCCCCTATAGCAAAGCAGATATACATATCGAAGGTAAGGCCGGTAAGCAATAAATGGCCTTGTGTTGGGGGAACTGCCTCAGCTGTCTGGCAGCAGGCAATAATATATGCAGATCTTCAGCCCTGCTGAGGCCCCAAGGTTCATCAGCCTTCTGATGAACTTCTTGCATTTATTATGCTAACTACTGGAATTTGCTTCCAGCATAGTCCCACTCTGGTCTGCACACACTCATTCAGCACCCTCCCTGGGGTGTGGAGGCCTGCACTGCCAGCGGGCAGCAAGACCTTCCGAAGGAGAAGACAGGATTTGCTGGCTGAGGAAAGCACCTAAGAGGAGTGAGCGCGGAGTCCTGCGGGCAAAGGGAGCAGACAGCAGCCTGGAGCCTCAGCCTTGGGCTCCGGCTTGGTGGGTCCCTGTGTGTCTCTGGCTCAGCCTCCTCAGTAGCCTCACACGAGAGCTATCTATTTATTTTTACGAGAGTTCTTAGTTGTTGCTAAACCGGGTGGGGGGGGTAGTGACAGGGGACTTGAAATCGGGATTCTAGACAAGCTCCCAGAAATTCAAACATAGGTGTCCCCGTGGCCACTTCTGGGACCTACTGTCTGGCACTGACATCAGCATCTTCTCTTGCCCAGCACTGCCAGGCCTCATGTGGTCCTTTCCTCCTGCTACTTTCCTCTTACCCTCCTCTTTCACCCCTCCCTACCTCTTCCTAAGCAAAGATCACATCTACTTCCTACTGCAGTCCCTAAACAGCTGAGTCACCATTAGTAAATTGCATGTGTTGGGGTTGGGGGACATCAAGATGACTTTGTTTTGCAACGGCACGCACGAGGTCAGCAAACTGGGTCACCCTCGAGCTGCAGAAGTAAAAGGGATTGTGTTGTCCCACTGGGAGCAGTTGCTTAGGGACTTGCATCTCATCTTTTAAAAGATACATGACGTTTATTGTGGGCTTGTTTTATGATAAAAATGGCTCAGGAAATAGATATGCCACGAGAAGGAAATAAAAGTCCTCTGTGAGCCTACCCCTCTCAGGAGACCCTCGCTAATATTTTGGTGCACACCATCCTTCCCCCAAGTGTCCAAATGAATATAATTTTTATGGAAGTTGAATTACACTATTTTGACATACTTTTCTCTTAATACATTATAAACCCTTTCTAGTAAACATTCTCCCACAGCATCATTTCAGTGGCTGCATGGTGCTCCCTTGCAGGGATAAGCCATCATTTAACCACTTCCCTATTGTTTGCTGTTTAGAGTATTTCCATCTTCTCCTCTAACGATGCTGGAATAAATATCCATAAGGTTAAATCTTCACAGCATCCTCGATTATTTATTTCCTTAGAATAAATTCCTGCGAGGGACACTGCTGAGTCAGGAGGTCACAGGTGCCTTTGAATTAATCAGAAGAACAGTTTGACAGGTCAGAGCCTCCTCGTGGCTCCCTGGCCATCATGTGGGGGGTTCAGGATGAAGCATTCTCCTTCTCCTTATTCCTATCTATAAAGTGGAAACAGCAGGCAGAATCCGAAGGGGAAAGGGAAAAGGCCCTCGCCTGGTTTTCAGTTGGGAAAGTGTTGTCCAGAAGGAGGCCATGGCTCACTGAGCAGCACACTGATGCCAAGCTGTGAGACACGGCCTGGAACCGGGTGGGGTCTGGGCTCGCCATTCAGTGCTCTTTCTATTCTGTACACAGTGTGTTTCCCACAAGCTCAGCCTGTGACAGCGGGCCCCACGGTGTGGGCAGGTATAAACCCTTGTGACCCACTGCCCTGATTGCTTCATCTTTCCGAGGGCCACCCAAATCACAGTTATAGTCACTGGGCCTTCATCGTTTTCCTGGCACCTTGTAGTGTAACTGTTACCTAATTTGTATTCCTACCAATAGCCCTCCGAGGAAGGCAATATTGTCATTATTTTATAACCAAGGAAACTGAGGCTCAGGGAGAGGTGCCTCCCCTCAGACCACAGAGCCAGGAATGAGTGGAGCCAGGCTCACACCCCGCCTGTCCCACTGCAGAGCCTAAGGCAATGCCACCTCTGCTCTGGGGCCGGCAGTGTTGCGGTTTATCCACTAGTGGCACCCTCTTGCAGTGACTGCACCCCACGCAGCCGAGATTCACAGTGCCCTTTGACCCTTCCAGGTGTTCCGAATGAAGGCCATCAAGCTCGGAGAGAAACTCCTGCCGGCCTTCAACACCCCCACGGGAATCCCAAAAGGTGTCGTGAACTTCAAAAGGTAGGACACATTCGGCTATATCTTCATGGAAACTGAGGCACACCGAGAGAGAGGGTCCGGGCTCGCCTCTGGAACCACAGCCAGTCAGCAGCAGAGTGAAAACTGGCTCCCGGGCGGTATTTGTCACCAAGCCTGGTTCTTGGGGATTAGGACACCCAAGACCTGATCTTCAGAGGTGGGGAGGGGCAGCTGTTCCTCGTGATTGTCCCAGAACACTGACTTGACTCAGCCCTCCCTCCCCAGCCAGGGTCAGGCACACCACACCCTCCTGCTAGGGGGTCTCAGGACCCTGGGCAGAGGGACCCCTGGTCTGCCGCCCCCACCCTCAGGGCTGGGTCTCAGGAGCCCAGTGTCAGAACACAGAGGCTCTGAGGAGTGTCAAGCCCCCCGGGGAGGAAAGGATGTGATTGGCTGAGATCCTATAAGCCAGTAACTGACTGTTCCAAGGTCTAAACTCAGGAGTTAATAATTTTTAATAATGATATTGGGATTTCCCCTCTATAAAACAGTAAATCCTCATTGCAGAACACATGGTTTTATATAAAAAATGCTGGATAAGACTGAAAAGTCACATGTGGTCCCACTGATGAAAGAACCCACTGATAGTGTTTCCTTCCTTAGCTCTGTCTTAAAACATTGATTTTTACTGTCCGCTTTCATCATTTCCCCTCCTGACCTGTTGCTTAATTCGGTGTGTGAACTTGGATCTCTCTGGGCCATCACTAAGTCAGAGCCAGAGTGACAGCCAGAGAGGGGGAGCCAGGGCTGCCGCTCCGCCCAGCTTACCTGTCCCCTCAGTGTTCCCCTCTCATGGGCTGGGAGTGTGTTTATATCCACCCGTTTTCCAGGTGTGGCAACTGAGGCCCAGAAAGGGGAAAGGACAGGGCCAAAGCCAGGAAAACTGATGGCCCGGCCAGCTTTAAAATACACTGGGGAGCATGAACCTTGCCCCTGGACACCACAGATGTGCCCTGTCTTGCCTTCTCTATCTCTGTTGCTTCACTGGATTGCCCATCTCTCACAGCCTCCCTGGCCATCAAAATTCAGCTCAGATGCCACATTATCATTAAGCCAAAAGCCTCTGTGCCTGTCCTGGCCTCCGGGCACTTTATCTCCATTCTCCCAGCCCTCGTCACACTCGTCTTCATGTTCCCCCACCCAGGAGCTTCTCAGGGGCAGGATCCCCATCCAATTCTTTGTGTCTTTGACACATATTCCTGCTAGACAGTGTGTGTGGGATGGGAGTGAATAACAGCAGTGGTCCTACCACTTACTAAGCACTTACTATGTGCCTAGCATTGTGCTAGGAGTTTCCACACATTGCCTCACCAACCTTACTGCTCTCAGCAATCCTTTGAGGGTATTTATATTATCCCCATTATGAAAACGGAGTCTTGAGATGAAGTAACTTGACCAAGGTCTCCTAGCTAATAGGTAATGGGACTAAGATTTAAACTCCTTTTGTTACGATCCAGAAAGCTCTGCTCTTGCGGCCTGCCAGCCAGCCCTCAGGTGTGTGGAGTGGGCCCCAGGAGACCTTGCAGAAGGCACCCAGAGAACTCGCTGGGCCATCCTCCAGCCTCTCGGCCCTCCTGTGACCCAGGCCGGGGAGGAAGGCTATGCCATTTCCATCACACAGACTTCCCCCTCCACCTCTTACAGTGATTTACCTCAGGGCTCTCAGCCCCACAGGGGCTTCAGCCAGCTGCCTGGGCAGGAAGGAGGACACTGGAGGGGAGGGGGCCCTGGGCCCTGTGAGAGCCCGCGGCTCCCGCTGGGTCCTGGGGAGGTCCTGCCCTCGGTCAGCCTGGGCCTTGCAGAGAGAAGACTTGGCATCGTCTCTTACTGTCCTCTGTGGCCCGAAAGCTTTCTCAGGGTGTGGCCTCACTTAACTCTCACCAACATCTCTGAGGGCTGGGGAGGGGCTAGTGTTGACTCCCCAAGACTAGACACTTGGATCTCTGCTCTAATTCCTTTCCACAAACACTAATTCTAGAGAAACGGGACCAGCTGGTATGGAGCCGGGACACAAACACCCTCTCTTTCCAGCTCTCCCATGTGCAGCTTCTGGGGCCTTGCAGTCTGGGGTCCCTAGGATCCTAGCTCAGGCACCCCTCCCTCCTCTGTGAGTGGCACTGCTAGTTCTACAAACCACAGTCCTGGCTGTCTGCATTACCCAAGTCCCTCAGAGCCCGGACCTGATACACGCAGATCTGCCATTTCTGATAAAGAAAGCACACATATTAGGCGGCCGTTGCGTGCTGCCGGTGCTGTACACACAGATAGGCATGTGCTGATTTCCTGGCAACACCCCCTTCCATTTTCTGGGTTGGAGTCTGTTGCTAAAAGTGCGTCCTTATTCCCCAGGGAGAACGTCAGGGATGTATGCGGCCCGAGTGGTGCTGATTGTGCTCTTGGAGGGTGTCTGGGGAAGCTGGGCCACACGCTGCCCCTGTCCTGGGCAGGGCTGGCGATGGGCCCCAGCAGGAGTGGGGACTGCCCCTGCCCCAAAACTGTCAAGTCAGGAGGACCCTGAGGGGAGGTGGTCCCCTAGTGAACTTGGCTGCCCCTCCTCCCTGATGGGGAGGTGTGTCTTTGCAGCCTGGCCTGGGAGGCAGAGGCAGGGGTAACCAGGGCCTGTGACCTGCAGGGACCCCTGGGCTATGGGGGAGAGCAGCAACGGCCACTCCAAGGCCCTCTGCAGCTGACTCACTGTTTCTCACACACACATTACACTCTACTGCCACCCATCTAAACATAAAGGCTGATACACAAGCTCGCCTTTGTCACACACACACTCACATCCATAAATGTGTGTGCACACGCACACGCAAATATGCGTTTCCATATGCACACACACACGGAGGTGTGTGTGTGTATATATATATATATATATATATATATATATATACACACACACACACACACACACACACACACACACTAGAGGCCTAGTGCACGAATTCGTGCACCTTGAAAGGAACTGAGGGCCATGAGGCTATGGTGGGTACAGGGGCAGGTCTCCATATTCTGTGACCCTGCCTGGCCCCTCCTGCCATAGCCCCTGGTCCCCTGTCTGCCAGCAGCCCTGCTCCCATAGCAACTGCTCCCACGCTCTGACATTTCTGGCCCCGCTCACACCCGCTGCTGGTGCAGAGCTATTGGGACTGGCACCCGGCGCTGGCAGCAGGTGCCAGCGGGGCCAGAGCAGGCAGCAGGTATGAGGGCCCTGGCAGGACCTCGGCACACGGGAGCAAAGAACTTTCAGTAACCACCTAATGGAAGCAACCAGTGCCTCATCTTGGTGTGGCGTCCCTGCTCACCTGCTCCCCCATCACGCCTCGGCCAATGCCTGCCATGTTCCACGCATGCCCCCTGGTGGTCAGCGCACGTCATAGTAACCAGTTGTTCGGTTGTTCTGCTGTTTGGTTTATTTGCATATTAGGGCATATGTATATATGTATATATACACATACACATATATAGTATTGATATATATACATATATAGTATTGAGATATATATAGAGAGAGAGACATACACATATATAGTATTGATTTCAAAGAGCAAAGGAGAGGGAGAGATAGAAACATTAATTATGAGAATCATTGATTGGCTACCGCCTGCACTCCCTCTACTGGGGATGGAGCCAGCAACCTAGGCATGTGCCACGGGACAGGGAATCAGACTATGGCCTCATGACTTCCTAGTTCATAGATTGACACTCAACCCCTGAACCTCACTGGGCAGGGGTACAGATCTGAATAATTGCCACCGTTCAGTGAGTTTTCACTGTGTGCCAGGCCCAATATGAGCCTGTGACATAGCTTCTCTTTTTCAGTCTCACAATCACCACATGGATCCCATTTTACCAGTGAAGAAGCTGAGGCTCAGAGAGGTGAGGTGTCTTACTCAAGGTCACTCAGCAGCAAAGTGAAGTTAGAATCGGAATCCAGGTCTGGTGGCAAAGTTAACGATTACATCATCCACAGGAGTTCACACACAGGCACACACACAGACACTGCCAGGCTGGGAAGGGCACTGTGGAGCGGCCCCTCCCTCAAGGGAGAGAGCACAGGCTGCAGGCCCTTTGCAGGCCTCACAGGGCTGACCAGACGACCTCAGGGCTCTGGGTGCTGCTCAGAGAAGAGGAATTTGAGGGTTCAGATTCAGCTCTGCCAGCTTTATCACTTACTGTGTGGCCTTGGAGACAGTGTCTCCCTCTCTGAGCCTGAGCATCCCCGCCTATGAAATAAGGATTGTGGTATCTACCCTCCCAAGTTGGAGGTGAAGTTAAAATAAGATACCACAGCTGCCTGGCACATATCAGGAACTTAATAACTCCAGCAAACAACACATAATTTACATGTGCATAATTACATAATGACAGTAATTACATGCATAATTTATACCTCACAATGACTGTGAGGTGTGGGTGCTGTCATTTAACGGATGAGGAAACTGAGATCTAGAGAGATTAACCGACCTGCCTGAGTTCGCCGGGAAAGCCAGCATTTGGAGCCAAGCAGCAGAGAGGGAAGGCACCTGCCCGCTGCCCGCTGCCCGCTCTGCCCTGGTTGGCGTGGCCTGTCTGCCAGAGCGGCTTCACGACAGAGAGCCCCCCAGGGAGGGTGCAATTGGAGGGCGGAAGAGAGGAAGGCTCGTGTGGGGAAAATGGAACAAAAGACGGATGGTGGCTTTCTTTGTACCTTGAATTTCTCTGCAAGGGCAGGAAGCACCAATTATTCAGGAAACATTCTGCCCACTGAGGACACAGCTGGAGAGAAGACTCGCTTGTGAAGAGGGACAGCGGGGACAGCTTTCCCTTTCCTCTGAGCAGAGGCAGGCCCTCTGTGGGGAGACCCCTCAGGAAGTGCCCTGCAGATCTCAGTTTGAATCCCACCTCCACCACCCACCAGGGTGACCTTCGACAACTCCCTTCCCCCTCTGAGCCTCAGTTTCCTCCTTTGCATATTGGAGTTAATGATGCTTTACCTGTGGGCTGTAAATGAAATAATGATGCAGGCAGCTTGCCCCGGTGCCTGCCATCTCTAGCAGCTCAATAAACGGAAGCTGTTTTATTTATTTTCCAGGAGCCAAGTGACCCCTCTTTATGAACCCATCCCTTCCCACCTGCCCCCTGCCCCCAAATCAGGGAAATGCCCCAGGAAATTGGAGACAGGAATAAGGGACCGGTGGTCTCCTCTTTGATTACTGAGGTCACCTGCCCCAAAAGGTCCCAAAAAGAGTGTCCTCTCTTTCTAGACACTAGGAGACACGAGTCCCCTGACCCTACTGGAAACCACATCCAGGCCAGAGAATGGAGTTTAGAAAGGAGAAGGGGAGCCCCAGCCCCACCCCAGGAAAAGCTGCCACCTCAGGTGGCAAACTGTGACCTCTCACACCCACACCTGCCTTCCTAGGCCTCACCCTGGGAGGCAGAGGGACAGACGGGCTGTTCCTGGGAGCCTGAGCTTTCACAGCAAGAAAGCAAAGGGCTTCCCCCAGCCTTCCTCACACTCAGTGCACCTTGGACCCCCTGCAAATGGGGAGCTCACACCACCCCACTCTGTCCCAATCCCGTCCTCTGCCTTTACAATCTCTTGCAGAGGGGGATTGATCTCTGCAACCACCCTCCTCCCCCACCCCCCTCGCCGCCCCAAGTTATCATAAATGTCCCATAGGAGAGATCATGATGCATATGAAGAAACTGAGGCCCGGGGAGAGGAAGCAGCTGGCCCAAGGCCACTGCCATTCTGCACCTTCCTCTTCTCTCTAAACCCCCACAAAAGCCCTAGGACGGAGACTGGGTGGTATTGTCCTTGCCCACTTTGTCCGGTGCAGAAACAAGTACACAAGGAGGCCTCTCAGCTAACACACTGGGACCCGTGCCTCCTGGCTGTGAACCCAGGGGGGTTTTAAATGATTTGCTTATTATGTAACTAAAAGCATGGCAATTTGGTGGTTAGGACATCAGCCCAGCATTGGTGATCTCCGTGGGTAACGTTACTGCCCTGTGCCTTGTTTTCCTCATCTGTAAAAGGGGCACATGGGACAGTTACTGGAGGCCCTGCATCCACATTCCTCCATATATATATTTCATTTGTTTTTTTCAGAGAGGGAGAGAGAGAAACATCAATGATGAAAGAGAATCATTGATCTGCTGCCTCCTACACACCCCCTACTGGGGATCGAGCCCACACTTCAGACATGTGCCCTTCACCGGAATCGAACCTGGGACCCTTCAATCCACAGTCCGATGCTCTAGCCTAGGGGTGTCGAACTCAATCAGAGAAGGGGCCAAAATCTAAAATCCAGCCTAAATCGCGGGCCGAATGGTTTACTGAACAGTCATAAACTGTCATTGTGATGGAAACGCAGCGGAGTGCAGTGATGACAGCGCGGTGCAGGCCACATTGCAAGGCCTGGCGGGACGGATTTGGCCCGCAGGCCTTGTGTTTGACACATGTGCTAGCCACTGAGGCAAATCAGCTAGGGTTGCACTCTTCCTCCTTGAAAGCACCCAGTGTGTGCAGAGTTCTTTGACAGCCTTGTCTGGTGAGTGGCAGTATGCCTCGTTGACTTTATCTAAGGTTCTTGTGAAGAACTTGGTTCACCAGAGAGGAAATTTTTTCTCCAAAAGCCCCTGCTTCTCTTACTCCTGACCTTGACTTCCCCAGAGTCAGGCTGCAGGTGCGTGGGTGTATCAGAGCTGCCTGCCTGTCAGGTGTGGGTTCCATGAAACTCCAAGAAGGGGCACTGTGTGTCCTTGGGCAGCATTGGCAGTGAGGGCAGAGGAAAGGGCGTTCTCATCAGACCCTCCCTCCATGCAGCGCCGCTGCCTGAGCCATCGGGCTGCCTTCAGCCACAGGGTGGAAGTGGAGTGTCTGTGGGTCTTTATGGTCCATCACAGCATTACCGATATCACCTATAATTTAGCAAAGCACGTGTGCCATGTTTTGGCCACCAAGACAGCATTGCTACTGTCCTGCTCGAGTCCAGTCTTACAGGGACAAAGACCATTGCAAGTCAGACAGGCCTGGGTTCAAAGAACCTTTAGCAAGTCACTTCACCTCAAGCTCAGTGTCCTCATCAGCAAAATGGGTCTGTTACTAGTACAGACCCCCAGGGGGGTTAACTGAGATTATGTAGCTAAAGCTTTTAGTGCCTGCCCAGAGCAGGTCCTCCCCTACTAAGCAGGGGAGTCACCCTCAGTAGAGGAGCCAGCTGGAGGCGGGGGGACGTGAGGGTGACAATGGCTACTTATGTCTTTCCAGTGGCTCCAACAGGAGCTGGGGCTGGACCACGACCGGGAGCACCAGCATCTTGGCAGAGTTTGGATCCCTGCACTTGGAGTTCTTACACCTCAGTGAGCTCTCGGGCAACCAGGTCTTCGCTGAAAAGGCAAGTCTTCTCCCCGCTCCCTCCCTGAACAGCCCTCTGCCTTCTCCCCGCAGAGAGCAGCAGGGTAGGCACGCAGCCCTGCACGGCCAAGGAAAGGCTTCCAGATCAGCTCGGTGGGGAACACAGAGCCCCCTGAGTTACTGTGGGAGACCTGACTACCCAGTCCCAGGGGGCAGGGAAGGCAGGCACGGGGAGGAGCGGGGCCCCTACAGAGGGCAGGGAAGGGACAAAGCTGCCGGGAGAAGGTTCTCGCCGCCATGTGTCAGCTTCTGGCAACCGCCCATTCGTGGGTCTGCAGAAAGCGCAGCAGCTGAAACCTAGGCACCAGCTCCAGTTGGCAGGAATGGGCCACCGGCTGCTAAAGCCGCCTTTCCAGAGACATTTAACTTTTTCCTGCGAGATCTGCCTGGCCTTTCCTTCCAGATGCCCGTCTAGCTCATGCCATCAGCAGGCTGTCAACGCGATTCCCACCTCCGGGAGAGGCACGTGGCCGCTCCTACTCACTGGTACCAGGCTGGCTAAGGCCACGGGGAAGCCAGAGATGGCGTCCAGGCTGCCATCCATCCTGACAGCTGCCAGTCCTCCATGAGGCCCTCCAGAGGGACAGTTTCTCCCAGCCTTGGCAGTCCCACTGTCTGGACGTGTCACCTTGGGTCTAATCCTCAACCCTCAGATGGCCCTCAGGCTCCATGGCAGGGAGATGAAGCCCCGTCCTCCAGGGAGAGCCCTCTGGAGGGCCCACTCCCAAAGCTGCCTTTTCCCGCTCATGGTTAGCCAGCCAGGGGGCTGGGAGCTCCCAGTGTCCTGTTAGACCGCCGGCCCCAGAGCATCACCCAGCAGGCCCTGGCCCTGGGATCTGCATTTTTAATAAGCGTTCATGTACTTTTTGACACGGGGTTTAGGAGCACTGCTTATTCAGTGTGGGAATGGATCCGAATTCTTGAGAAAACACTTACAAAGAACAATTCAAATCTTTGACCATTTCCTCTGTACTGGGGCTCACTACCACCCTTAAATAGCCCACCACATTGTCAGACCTGGTATGGAGAGGACCCTGCCTCCCTGCGACAGTCCACCTCAAAAGGTCTTGCAGTTAGTTTAATCCCACTTTCAATGAATCTTACTGGCTGGTCCTTTTTCCCACCTCCACGTCCTCCCCACCTACTGGCCTCCTGTTTTCATTGCTCTTGAGCCAACTCCTCCAGAAAGATTGTGGCCGGCTCAGAATGGAGAAGGACAAGCAGCTCCCACTAGTCCAGTGGCTCTCAACCTTTCTAATGCCACAACCCTTTAATACAGTTCCTCATGTTGTGGTGACCCCCAACCATAACATTATTTTCGTTGCTACTTCATAACTGTAATTTTGTTACTGTTACGAATCGTAATGTAAATATCTGTGTTTTCCGATGGTCTTAGGCTCTGTAGCAGCAGTTCTCAACCTCTGGGTCGAGACACAGGTTGTGTGAACTGCTAGCAGGTTGCCTAAGACCATTGAAGAACACATTATGATTCATAACAGTAGCAAAATTACAGTTATGAAGTAGCAACGAAAATAATTTTATGATTGGGGGTTACTACAACATGAGGAACTGTATTAAAGGGTCGCGGCATTAGAAAGGTTGTGAACAGCTGCTGTAGTCCCTGGCTAGTCTGGAGGTAATTAGCTACTACTGCCTGAGCACCTACTGTGTGCTGGTCGCCTCAGAGTGTCTCTAATCCTCCTAGCAGCTGTAGGAGTCAGGTCTTCCTGTCATCCCCATTTTACAGGGAAGGAAACTGAGACTCAGGGGTTAAGTTACTTGTCCTGGATCATCCATCTGGGAAGTGCTAAAGCCAGGAGTCAAACCCAGGACTCCTTGTCTCTGAAGCCCACGCTCATTCAAGAGCAGATTAATTCGACAGGCTTCAGGCCTTTCCTCCAGGCCCACGCTCCGTTTCTCTGTCTCCCTCTACATTTACATTCTCCAGCCATGTTCATCCCCCAGCCATGCCGCCCACAGAGGCGATTATTGGCAGTCAACAAATTGGCCCAAATTCTAGAAGCGTCCGCACCCTCTGGGGGAGCTCATTTAGCCTGCTCCACTGCTTACCACCAGGACCGCCGCGAATAAGTCAGGTACAAGCACATTCCTGTCCCCATAATGGACTGCATTAACATAAATGGATGTGAAGTCTGACGTGGCAAAGCAATGCCGGCCCCTGAAAAGAAAGGCTGACAGTCAAAGGCCGCTTTCCCTGCTCCTGGCCCTGCAGGCGAATCTGTGAGCATGACACAGTATGGTCCCCGAGGGCCTTTCTCTCCCGCAGGTCTGCACTGGGAGGGTTTCATGTATGCATGAGGGATACGGCCTTCCCACGTGTATAGCCCAAAGTCCCCTTGCCCTTGGTATCCCCGAAGGTTGCAAATCTAGCTTCCTCTTGCTCAGGTGGGGCAGCCTCCGATACACGTCGCTGCATGGTCCCCGCCTGGCCCGTGTTGGACCCAGGGACTGCTCTGTTTGTTCAGAAATTGTCCTGGCCCTGAGACGTACTGGGTAGCCATGGCAATCACTGCATCTCTCTAAGATCCAGGTGTCTTGTCTGTTAAACTGAGCTAGTAATACCACAGAGGTTGTTGGATGATTGGAGATGATGTGTCTAACAGTACGGCTCAGAGGAGCTGAGAAATGTTGATTTTAAAAGGTGCCACAGGCGCCTGACTCACGTGTCTGCGCTGACCATTCTGCCCTTGGTGTTTGGAGGAGCCCAGGCCTCCCCCCTGGAATGGTCCCAATGGTGTCAGAAAAAAGAACACATTACCAGGTTAACCATAGGAAATTGCCAATGTTTGACCATTTCTGATCCATTAAAAAGGCAGTTTTACCTGGTACTTACAAAACAGCTACCATCCCTTATATGAATCCACCCTCCCTGCCAAAAGCAACGTGCAGTGAGGAAGGGGTGAGGTGGGGAGATGGGGGGAGGAGGCAGCGGGGAGGAGGTGGGGGGAGGGGAGAGGGAGCCTGGCAGACCCAGGGCAGAGTGGTCAGCGCAGACACGTGAGTCAGGCGCCTGTGGCACTCCTGCAGCGCCCGCACGTGGGCACAGGTCAAGGCCGTCCCACCAGCTCTGGCTGGAGCCCGCTGCTGGTTTCACAGCTTCCCCTTCCTGCCTCCTCGGAATGGTTTCCTCGGGCTCTGAGCCAGCTGCCTGGTCCTTGGCGAGCTGGGAGGGGGCCGGCTTCTTCCGAGACGTGAAGGTGTGACTGGGATCCATCTCTCGGCAGGTCAGGCACATCCGGAAGTTCCTCAGGAAGATCGACAAGCCATTCGGCCTCTACCCCAACTTCATCAGTCCAGTGAGCGGGAACTGGATACAACGTGAGTACATTGTCCTTCAGCGGGTTCCTGCCCAGCTTCCGGGTGTGGCCCTTGCAGGGCACAGGCAAGAGTCTCTCGCTCAGTGCTCCTGGGTGCCCCACCCCACCCCCCAGGTAGCTGGGGGAGCAGTCACTATGGCTGTCATAGCTGTGGTGACACCTTGCGCATCCCCCTCACGCCAGCTGTCTCCAGCCTCCATGAGGGCTACAGCCTCCATCGCTGTGCCCGCTGACGCCGCCATCATCCCTCACCCCTCCAGGAGTGTTCCTGTCCTAGCCCCTTCGACTTTAGATTTTAAAACTTAAGCAGAACTAATACAATGATATAAAAACCATGAATCCTGCTGTGTCCTGCACATGCCAGAACTGGTCCCAGGGCTTCCTGCTGTTCTCCGTGCAGAGACCTGTTCTCAGCCAGAGATGCTGGTCACCTGGTCACCTGGGGAGCCTCGTTCGCAGCCCCCAGCTTCACCTGCTGAAACAGGAGGAGGACTGGGGGGCCACTCAGGCGGAGGGTGTTGAAAAGTCTCCAGGCCCCTGGCACTGCCCCTGCTGAGAAGCCCTGCTCCACCTTGCCCTCCTGACCAAGGCCCGGTCGTGTGTTGTGGTCATCGCACAAACTGGTGGCAGCAGGTTCCGTGGGCCCTGCTCCAGGGCCTTCCCAGAGCCCACGCCTCGCTGCCTCTGCCCAACAAGGGCCCCTCTCCCTCTACCATCCCCTCCTGCCCCAGCTGTTATGGCACCAGCCAGGGCTGGCGACAAAGGAGACGTGGGTCTGATTACCGCATGGCTGGGAGTGACGGGTTCATTTTATCTCTTTGAACCATGGTTTCCTCTCCTGTAAAATGGGAGCAGAACTCGAGATACGTTCTTTGTGTTCTGTGGAGGGGTTGGAGTAAGGGTCAAAAGCTGCAGGAAACAGATCTCAGTTCATCTGCTGGAGACAGGTTGTCTCCAAAGGAAAGGGGGCCCATGAGTAACAGTGCAGGCCGGGCCCGGCAGGGGGTGAGACCGCAGGGGCCTTGTCCTTCCAGCCCCAGCCTCCCTGATCCGCAGGTCTGGAGGCCCAGAAAGTTCAACCCAGGACGTTTCCCTGGTGATGACCTCACTCCCAAGCGGCCTCCTGCAAAAACCACTTCTAGAAACGCACAGTATTTTTAACCAAACATGCCGTGAAACCCAAAGTGCAGGAGAAAACGAAGGTTTGAATTACAGATTATGGCCACAGGAAGAGACAGCTCAGGAACTGTTACTGCTTTTAATTGCAAGGCCTGACTGGACAAAGAGATAAACTGCCCAGCTGCTGGCCTCAGCTGCTCCAGGACCAGGCAGCAAACACTCGAGATGGCGTGGCTTCCAGCTGACAGCTACCTGGGCAAATTACTGGGGAGCCCCCACCGAGACGCATAATTTTCTCTTCAGGCCGCGCCAGGGGTCGCAGGGCTGGGCAAAGCCGGTCACGTGTGAACATTTGTTTCGTATTAATAACATACGAATCCACAGCCTGCTGAAGAGCAGAGGGGGTACAGGGCCCGCTCCTCTGGGCACCTGCTCCTCCCTCCCTGGCTCTGTTGCCGGGGTTATCTCAGGTTTTCATCAGGGTGTTTTTTTTGTGATTGAATATTTTTCCAGATGATAACACTCCCTACTTGCATAAGCTAAGTGTGTTCACATTCTTTTTTCTCCTTGAATCCTCTGTTTAGCCACTTTGCAACCATAGAAATTGTAGCTTAAAGAGGCAAAGGAGGAACTGGGGTGCTCTTGGCAGCTCCCCACTCCTGCTCGAAGCTGAGATTCAGGGAAACGGGAGACCAAGACCTCATCCGGAGAAGCCGCCAGGCTCCTGCTGGCACCATCACGGATGAGAGCTCAGAGAGCTGCCAGCCCCGGAGGGCTCGGCCTCCCTGTCCACGGCCTGAATCCCACTCTCTCCTCCGTGGGAAGGAAGTGGCAGGTCTAGATTCTCCCAAAAGGGAGCATGAGCTCCCGTCAGCCCCAGCCTGACCGCCTCCCCCGTGCGTGCTGTCCTCTGTGGCAGAGTTCCCGGCTTTAGGGTGGCTGCTGCTTGCTGCCCAGCGTGATGAGAGTGTTGGCGTGGTCAGGAAGCAGCAGAACCCACCTGCTCTAAGGCCCATCTACACCGACTCGGGCTCCCCTTTTAAAAGCATTATACTGGAGAGACTGAGGACCGGCAGGGGAAATGGCTTGATTCCCAGGCCTATGCTCCTCCCAGTGTATCACCCAGCATTGAGCGACACCACACGCACACACACACACGCACACACACACACACACACACAGTGGCTAGAAAGCAAGGAGACCTCCACGTGAGAACTTCCCACTTCAATCACGGTCCCCGGAGGCGATACACACCTCCCCGCTCGGGTGTCAGGTCTCAGCCGCCCATGGAATCCCGGCGACCTGGCTCTCCCTCCCGGCACACACTTGCCAGTGAAGCCCTGCTCCACGACACACACGTAATGAAGTCCGCACTCTTAGGCCTGGCATTGGAGGCCCTTTCCGGCACAGCTCACACCTACCTTGCTTTCATTCATCAGGGCGTCTGCTGTGTGAGTAAAGGCGCTGGACATAAAATGGGAATCCTGCACAGTCCTCTCCACAGAGCCCTCGGCCCAGTCAGGGAGGCAGACCCACACACAGTTCTTACAGCAGCATCAGGCACGCCCCCAGCGACAGGAGGATAGCCCCCACTGGGTGCTTCTGACGGGCCAGGTCGTGTGTGTATGTGTGTGTGTGTGTGTGTGTGTGTGTTTGCCTTACCTCACCCTCCCTCTGGTCACCCTGCAAGGAGGGATGGAAAAGGGTCATGAGAGCAAGGGGGAAAGCCTTTCTGAGGAGAGGAAGCTGAGGTGTCCAGTGAGGAAGCCTAGCCGTACAAGGTGGTAAAGGGGTAGTCACAGATGAGAAACAGCGTGGGAAGGCTGGGGGCTGGAGATTTGGGGGGTGGAGACACAGTGAGGGGAGCAGGGCCAGGAGATGCGGGTAGAGGTGGCAGTGCCCTGGCTGCAGCCTGTGAGCCAGGGCTCCTTCTGTGGGCTGTGGGCTTCAGCGGCTCTAGGCAGAGGCTGACTCCGTTTGCTTACAGCCTCCCCCCATCCCTGCTCACACAGACCTCCTACTCCCACATGGACACGCCATCGACATGCTGGGCCTGGCACACCCCGCCCTGCCCTTTGTGCTTGTCCAAGCTGTGGCAAGGGATAGGGGGTGAGGGGTGTGCTGTGCTGGCTCTCTCTTCCATCTTCCCTGGCAAGGTCCAGCCCACACTGCCCCCACCCACTCCTCAGGCTCAGGCTTTATCTGGTTGGTTCCAGTTTTTGCAAGTGCTTGTTCCATTCCTGAGCCCTCGCTGGCCAGGATTGGTTTGTGGAGGGGCGGAAGGGCCGGTTCACGGTGGGGGCCTCCTCTCAGCCCCTCTCCCCGGTCCCCAGCTGCCTTCACCCTGGTCCTTCTTGTCCTTGCTCTGTGCATCTTCCGTTCCGTCCTCAGCTGACTGTGTGAAGCTGCGGAGAGTGAGAGCTCCGCCTCCTTCGTGGCCTCCGATGAGCCGTTCAGGCTCGCCCTCATTTTCCCGTCTGGTCAGTGGGGTTGATAGTGCTCACCTTGCCAGGTTCGGGGAAAGATGTTCTAAATAATACATCTCCTCGCCCACCATGGACCTGGTAGCTGTCGGTGTATTCTCTATTTCTCTTTTACTGTTTCTGCAAATATTCTTCACATTCCGCCACCCCTACCTTATCCATCCTCCACTCCTCCCCCTTCCTCTGTCTCTCTGCTTAAGTGAATCATAACAAGGAGCTGACGCTGACTCTGATTTATATCATTAAAGGCCTGTGTGTTTCCCGTTGTTACTTATTAAAGCATGTGAGTGTTTTCTGTCCGTGTCTTGCTTCTGAGGTTAAGGGTTCCTTGGTCACCCCATTCCCCCCTCCTCCCTGCCCCCGGGACAGCCCTGGGTGGAGATGCCTCCTCATTCAACCACAGCCTGGAGGTCCTGCTCCGAGCGGACTTAGGGCGATGCCACCAGGCAGAGAGGGGCGTCCTCAAACCTGTGTGTCCTCCCCCTGCTCCTGTGAACTCCATTCATCCCTATTTGCTAAATTTAAACTCAGTTTTTCCGGAAAGGCTCTGTACCCTGGCCGCCTAAGTCAGGCCTCTCCTTCCTCCTCTCCGTGGCCTTTTAGGAATCTTCCTGGCATTAATTACCAGGTTTGTCACCAGGTAATAAAAATCTCCACTCCCTGCCACCAGATTATATTCTTAAAGAAATGCAGCTCATTTCCAGTTAATAACCAGAGGCCCTGCTGTCCTCGGCCTGCTAGAGCGACATGATTTATAGCCCCTGGCTGAGCCCCGCACCTGTGTGCAGGCCACCGCGCTGGGAAGGCCTGGCTCCCCGAGGCGCGGGCTGGGTCTCTCTCAGCCGTGGCTCCGGGCTGAGGGGCTGCTGATTAACCGCCTGCTTCACCCTCACGCTCCGCCCGCACGCAGCACGCAGGCCGGAGCCCAGTGGGCAGATGTGCGCTCCGCTGGTCCCGCCGCCTCGGCGACGGAGATAACGCTCTGTCTGCTCTCCCCTCACAGACCACGTCTCGGTTGGAGGGCTCGGGGACAGTTTTTATGAATATTTGATCAAATCCTGGTTGATGTCAGCCAAGACAGACACGGAGGCTAAAGACATGTACTACGAAGCCTTGACGGTAAGTCAGCACCTTCACGGGCCTCCGCCCCCTGTGCTCACACGGCCCGCGCGCCAGGGCCTTGTCCGCCCATCCCCCACGGCGCACTGGCCCGGGAGCCACAGGGCAGCTGCCGCCCATCGGTCACTGCACACCTGCCTCATAACTCTTCTCAGCACCTGGGAATTAGGGCCGTGTTAGCAGCCTTGTTTCGCAGATAGAACCCAGGCTCGAGGAGGTGTGCTCATTTGTCTGAGGCTCACAGGCAGCGGCAGGCGGTCTGATTCAGAAACCTCCGTGTCTGTGCTTCAGCTCATGTGTCGGAGCCCAGAATATGCAGCAGGCAGTAGCTGGCAGCCCCCACGCAGGAAGTGCTAAAGCAAGACCCTCAGCCATCTTCCTGCCAAGCCAGAGGCGGCAGCTCGTACATCCAAGTGGGAAGGGCCTCTGTCAGGGGAGCATCCAGTTCTGTCCCTTCTCTTTACGTATATGGAAACCAAGGCCCAGAGAGGGGAAAGCACTTATTCAAAGCCTCACAGCACAGAACTGGCAGAGCTGTAGCCAGAGGGAGGTGCTGGAAAGATGGACGGTGGGTGGGCAGGGGAAATGGGTGGATGGATGGATGACCTCTCACTGCCCTCCGATCACAATGGCAGTGCTTAAAGGAAGCACGTTGAAACAGGCCTGCGGGGCTATGGGCTCTTCAGCTATGACCTCAACCCTGAGTTTTCCCTGCCCAGCACCCAGCCACCAAGACTCAGCCATGAAGCAGCTCCTGGCACTCCAGTCCCGGCTCAGCCTGGCTCAGCCCATCCACGAGGTTCCATGGCTGAGCCCAGCCCACAGCCAGTGTCTCCTGTAGGTTCTGGTTCCGCTGGGGGCCAGGTGTGCTGCCCTTCGCCAGCCACGTGCAGTTACCGAGCAGCCTGGTTCCCTGCCCTCAGGCGCACTGTAGTTGAGGCTTCAGGGAAAGAAGTGGCCATGAATTATTTAAGCAAACGGGGGCTTTATGGAAACACTGACTGAATAGGAGACACCTGTCTTTGCTCCTGTATTTGATCTTCCCCTGCAGTGTCTCTGACCCTGGTAAGGACTGGGCCTATGCCAAGTTTGGGGCTTTGAAGAGCATTCTGGTGGTTGTCAGCCTTGTTGGCCTGTTAAAAACCCTGATGGTCAGCCCTGGGCGGTGTGTCTCCGTTAGTTGGGGTGTCATCCCATGCACCAGAAGGTCCAGGGTTCGATTCCAGGTCAGGGCATATACCTAGGTTTCAGGTTTGATCCCCCAATCAGGTCACATGCAAGAGGCAACTGATCAATGTATCTCTCTCACATCTATGTTTCTCTCTCTCTTTCCCTTCCTCCCTCTCTCAAAATCAGTTTTAAAAAAATGTTTATCCCAATGGTCAGTCTGCACCCCAACAAGGTTTCATCAGAACCTCTGGGTGGGACCCAAGCAACAGCCTGGAAAGCTGCTGGGCTGGGGCTGGGCTGGGCAGTGTCAGTGTGCAGGTTAGACCAATGTCTCGAGTGGGCATGGGGGCTTCAGACAGGCTGCCTGGCAACCCCTAAGGTCATGGGAGAAAGGACAAGAAGGACAGGGCTAGGCACTCACGTCATTCTGGCCTCTCTGGGCAGTACATTTAGTGCCTTGGCCCCATCTTACATTACAGGTGATGAGACGGAGGCTCAGAAAGGCTCGAGGTCACACAGATATCAGAGGCAGAGTGCAAACAGGGTCCGGCTGCCTCGAGGTGCAGTGCTCCTGCCTCCGCTTACCAGCTGCCAACTCACCAAGGAGCCTGGCTTGCCAAAGTCCCTCTCGGGCAGATACCGGGGAGGGGGTGGGGGGCCGTCCAGGAGGCTAAGGAAGCCAGAGCCTCTGAAGAGCCTCGCAGCCAGTCCAGAAGTTAGTCTCACTTTACAGATGAAGAAAGGGGGTCTTCAGAAAGTGGACCAGAGTCGCCCAACTCTCACAATGCAGAGCTGGGGTTCCAGCCCAACTCTCACAATGCAGAGCTGGGGTTCCAGCACAGCCTGCCTCTCAGTCAGCTCTTTGCTTTGTCTCTTGCCATGATTTAACCTCCTGACCACTCCACGGCCAGTTTTAGAAGTCTTGGTTTTTGTGTTGTTATTTTTATCTTTGCATCTGCTCTCTCAGTTGTCTCTTCAAAGAGAAACTGCGTTATCATTTCCTCTTTACCAAAGTTACTTTGCTTGGGGTCAACCCCGAATAGAAATAACCTATGGGAGACAGTCTTGAAGATGAAGATTTTCGGCTGCAGTGTGAGACTTTCTGGGATCCCCTCCAACTCATGTCTGTGTCCTCTCCCAAGCATTAACAATGGTAACTGAGCCATGTTTCTGCACCTGGGCTAGACCTGCCGCCCGCCCCTGCACCTGCATGCTCAGGGATGCAGAGCAGCTGCCTGGACCAGCTCTGCCCAGCCGTGGCCAGCTGTCCACGCCTCCTCCCACGTGAGCAGGTGCCCTGCCTGGCCATCAACATTGCTTCCCCCTCTGCTGCTCAGTGAGGGCCCTGCAGCCAACCTACCAGCCAGACCTTACAGAGAAGAAGGAAAAAGCACTCAGGGAGCAAGCTGAGTTTGAGCACCTTCTGTATGCCAGGCCCTGGCTGGCGATTGCTTGTGGTGGCTTCTGCTGTCACACGCCACTCAGAGTCCTGGGAGAGACACGTCCCATAGGAACATACATGAACTTGTGTACACACAGTGGGGACAGCACCATGTAGGAAGACAGTGGGAAAGTAGAATAATGTGGCAGCAGTGGTGTGGGCTAAGCTGTTCTCTCCACGGGCACACCCTGAAGAGGGCCCTTGGCCGGGTCGGAGTTAGCAGTGGGACGGGAGCGGCAGGCAAAGCCTGAGGCAGGAACCCTCATCTGCTTCACGCACGTCCCTGTGGCAGAGACCTCTGACCTCACTGCAAAGCAGAACCCCCTCCCCACATTTCCCTGGCCTGTCCCCTCGATTTGTTTCATTCAAAGTGCTGATCACAAATCGTGATATTCGTGCGTATTGATTTTGGAGGAAGTCTCTGCACTCATGAGTGAGCTCCCTAAGGCAGGGTCCAGGCCCATCTTCGGGGTTGTATTCCTTGCACCTCCACAGCCCTGGCACCAAGGAGGTGCTCACAAAATACTCATTGGGGCTGGGGTGCAGGAGTGAAGAGGCCAGTGTGGCTGAGGAGGGAGGGCAGGGGCCGACTAGAGAGGAACTGGGAAGGCCTTTTATTGAGGACTCTCTGAGCTGGGAAATCGGTTGAGCTCTACAACACATCTCATTTAACCCTCACAACCCTATGAAGTGGCTCATGTTCTTACCTGCATTTTATACACAAGGAAGTTACAGCATGGAGAGAACATAGCACCCGCCCAGAGTCACACAGCTCCAAACTAGTAGAGATAGATTTGAACCCGAGATGGGGTCCTTGTCCCAGTTCTGGAAAGACTGCATGACCTGGGACAAGGCACTCGGCCTCTATGGAGAGCACTGCAGACTGCCTGGCTTGTCCTGGGCATTAAATGGGAAGGCGTGTAATGAGGGATCAATTTTCTATCGTTTTCTTGTTTTGTTTAGAATCTGATTAAATATATGTGCCCTTGTCCCATGAAAATGCACATACAGCCCTAGCTGGTGTGGCTCAGTTGGTTGGACATCATCCTATGCACCAAAAGGTCACAGCTCAGTTCCCAGTCCTGGCACGTGCCTCGGTTGCAGACTCGATCCCCAGTAGGGGGCATGCAGGAGGCAGCTAATTAATGTTTCCCTCTTGCATCAATGTTTCTCTCTCTCCCCCCCTCTTTTTTCCTCTCTCTCTCAAATCAATAAAAACAATTATTTAAGAAAAAGAAAATGCACATACACAAAAGGTCATGTACAATTTTAGGGGCATTTGTGATACCCTGTAGCCCATCCATGGGTTAAGATTCCCTAACCAAGGAGGGTAATAATTCTTAAAGATATTTTGAAATTTTTTGTATGTAGAGGTTTTCAAGTCTGTGTAAGAGACTCACCCTGGGGAGCTACCTTATGTCTGACCCTTCAGCGGGGCAGAGCTCCCACGGGCCCCATCAGGGCCAGCCCGCCGAGGCCAGGGAGCTGCCTTTGCCTGGGGTGGAGGGCTCGGTAGAGCCGCGTTTGCTGCTGTCTCCAAATACTCACTTTCTGTCCTCTCCGCTCCTCCCCTTTCCCTGCCCAATCCCCACTTGCTCCCAGGCAATAGAGACCCACTTGGTGAATGTGTCTCCCGGGGGGCTGACCTACATCGCCGAGTGGCGCGGGGGGAACCTGGACCACAAGATGGGGCACCTGGCCTGTTTCTCCGGGGGCATGATCGCCCTGGGCGCTGAGGATGCTGAGGAGGACAAGAGGGCCCACTACCGAGAGCTCGCAGCCCAGATCACCAAGACGTGCCACGAGTCGTACGACCGCTCAGGTAATGCTGCCAGGGGACAGGCAGGCAGGACACGCCGAGGGCAGACACCAGGGAAGTCCTGCAGAGGGGGAGTGCGGGGAACCGTGGTCTCAGGGAAGTCTCGCCTTCTGCGGTTAGGCAGAATTTGAACAAGGAACATGCTGTCTATGCACTGAGGTTGTACCTCAGTCAGAGGGGAAATAGGGTGATGCATTAAGCCCTTTGTGTGTGCCAGGTATTGTTCAGCACTTAGTATGTCATTGCTGAACCTCACAACACAGAGGAGGAAACTGACGCTCAGGGATGATGTGGCCACAGATCACATGGCATGGACATGGCATGGCCCCAGGAGGGGGGCACAGAGCAGAGGGTCCTCTGGCCTCATTGGCCTCCCGAGCCTAGAGAATTCCATCTCCTTGACCCCCTAGCTCCCAGCACCTCTGCTTTTCCTCCTGGAACCCCTCCATGTAGGGCTGGGCACCTACTGGCACCACCTTTTATCACCCTCTTTGATCCAAGCTTGAGCGCTTCCTGACCATCGGCTCAGCACTCATGCAATATGGTCAATGCCAGAGTCAGAAGTCACGTTAGAGAACATGAACCCGACTTTCATGTTACACCTGGGAAACTGAGTCAGTCCAAAGCCGAAGGTACCACTGTGAGTGGCTAAGCCAGGCCAGAACCCAGGTCTCCTGACGCCTAGCTGCCTCCTGTGTGCTGCCTTTGAACAGCAGCCCTCGGCACTACCCCCAATCCCCCAGAGCCCCAGGAGGTGTCCACTACTCCGAGTTTAACCTCTTGGCTGGAGGAGATGACCCAAGATTTGCCGTAAAAAAATGCCTGGTTCGGGCGCCACTCTGCCCCTCACCAGCTGGTGGCTTCTGTTTTCTTGCCGTTCAGTGTGAACAGGAACATGGGTCTCCAGGATGGGGTCTCTCCCTGATTCCAGAAAGCACATGGCCAGCGCCCTCAGCCAAGCATGGGGGGTTGTTAGGCCCACCGAGCTGTGTCTGTGACCGCAGCAGCTGAGCCCTGACTGTGCTGTTCAGAAAGCTAGCAATTCACAACGGGTCCTAAACTGGTCTTCGAGTCCCCCCCCAAGAGCGCTCTCTGTCAGCGCCATAAACAAATAGGAAACCTCAGGAATAATAAAAAGCTTGCTGTTTGTCTGGGACAATCAGCCCGACCATAAAAGACAGTCTGCGTAATAGAGCATATTGTTCCAGCAGCCTGGCTGGCTGCAAGAGGCGCTCTCGCCCTCACCCCATTAGCAGCTTGGCAAGACGACCGTTTTCTGATGGTAGGAGTGCCGGCACCAGCTGAGAGGCTCAGAAGGGCCTGGGTCTGGCTGGGTCCTCTCCCAGGCCGCCCTCTACAGAAGAGTGGGCCATCCTGAAAGCCTGTGTTTTGAGGAAAAACAGCTCGGGGCCTCTTGGGTCCTGAATGGTGGTGGGAGGAGGTAGGGCTCACTACAGAACCAGAACCAGGCCCTCGGCCAGCCAGGACAGGATGTGCAGGCATTAAAGAGAGGAAGACCAACCCAGCTCTAAACTGGAGGCCTGGAGAGTCAGACTCAGAGGGAAAGAGAGGCCACAGCCTAACAAGGGGGCACCAGACAAATCCCCGTAACATCCCAGCCAAGCCATGGCGCGCTGTGTTCGCTGTGTTCCCCTGGACAGATTTCTTAGCCTCTCTGATCCTCAGTTCCACATGCATGGTAGAGGGATAACACCTCCCTCACCAAGAACACATTTCTTTAAGGATTAAAGCAGTAAAACACCCAGCACAGCCTTTGGAATCACAAATGGTGGCTGCGGTGGTGGTTATATAATTGTGGTCATCCACAAAACAGGAATGGCAGTAAATTGTCCACAAACGAACAAAACAATGGCGGCAGCACAGCCAGACCTCGCCAGCCTTGCTCAGTCCGCTCCCTCCGCCCGAGTGTGAGTGTGCGCGTTCTGGGCAGGCCTTCCCCTCATCTCCATGTCGGCGGTCTCCCCAACTGTCAGCTCTGGAAGGCCGGTTCTGAGAGGAGCTAACAGAGCTCCCTGAGGTCTGAGGCCAAGTTCATTGCAATGAGCACAGTAAAGGAGCTGATGAGTCCTGCAGGAGAGAGAGAGACCGCTTTACCTTTTTAACCCGCTGCTCTCCAAACGTGTTTAAACCTTGGACTCTGGTGTGGCTGAGCTCTGATTGACATCTCGCAGGGCTTTTATCTCAAAACACACAGTTAGGGAGCACCACCCCACCTTTGTCTCCCCAGACTGCTGTGTAGTTCATTTGGATTCTCAAATTATAAAATTTTGAGGCCTCAAGGGTCTTGCTTTAGCCAGTCTGGGCCAAGAGGGAAGTTATATATCTGCCAGGCTCAGCCTTGTCAGGCAATCCAGGCAGGCCCACCCCAGACCCTCCAGCACCAACCATCACCCCCAGATCTGCCCTGGGCAGCAGGTGGGCGGTCTGACCCAGGCCCTCTGGCTGTCATTACACAGATACCAAGCTGGGGCCCGAGGCCTTCTGGTTCAACTCCGGCAAAGAGGCCGTGGCCACGCAGCTGAGCGAGAGCTACTACATCCTGAGACCCGAGGTGGTGGAGAGCTACATGTACTTATGGCGGCAGACCCACAACCCCGTCTACCGGGAGTGGGGCTGGGAAGTGGTGATGGTGAGTGGGCTGGGCTGGGCTGGTGGGAGGCTTAAATGGGGGGCAGGTGCCCCTGAGAAGTCAAGAGTCCAAAACCCCGTGGCTCAGGCGCTGAGAGGAGGGTCAAGCCAGGCTGGCATCTGGCTAAAGTTCAGAAAAAAAGGGTCACATTTGTAGTCGCAGAGCCAGGAACCCCCAGCTGGGCACCATCAAGCCAGGAACTTGAAGAGGGTTCTGAGGCCTGTAGCCCCGGTGCCGGCAAACTTAGAGGGGCAAAGGCGGGGCAGCAGCCAAGGGGGCCAGGGCACATGCGGTTACTGCTTTCTGACCCTGACGCCTGGACCAATGCCTCCGATGTCGCCTCTCAAACAGGAACAGCTGCCCAGCCAGCAGCTCCCCTCCCTCCTCTCCCCAGAGCCAGCCCTGCCCCTTGCCACCCCCTCCCTCTCTGGGCTCTGCTCACCCACTCACTCACTCCACCCATCTCTCCTCTTGTCCCCTGCTACCTAGTGGAAATCTCATGCCCACTCTAGGGCAAGTGTCAAAGGCAGGTTTGGGGAAGCTGGAAGGTTCCTTGGTGGATACTGAGCCTTCTCTGTCCTCCCCTCCTTCCCCACCCACTGCTCTCAGAGGCAGGTACTGTCCTGGGGGAGCCACACCCCGAGTGTCATACTCAGGTGGGCACAGGCCTGCTCAGGATCATTGTCATGGCTCACTGGCCAGAGACTCTTGCTTCCCTAAGGCCAAGTGTTTGTGCTTCCGGGCCCCATCCGCAAATCTCAATGGGTAAGAAATGCATTTCTACACAGAAGACAGAGAGCCCCTGGCCTGCCCACCTCCAGCCCAGGGACCACATCTCACGGAGAATCCTGGGATGACAGTCCCCCAGCCCAGCCCATGCACACCGACAGCACCTTCCTCTGGCCCCACTGGGCAAGCCTGACAGCAGTGTATTCCATGAGAGGCGGAGAGAAGCCTCTAGGCTCACGCCAGGTGGAGAGCCCGGGCACAGCTCTCCCATTGGGACTGAGCTCCTGGTAGCAGGACCCCGGTCTGGCAGCAGGCGCTGAGCCTGGAGAATAGCTCGGCCTTCTGCTTGCACACACACCAGGGGTCCCCCGTCGAGGGGTCAGGGGCCTGCCTTTGGCGAGCTTGGGGTCCTCCTCTCCCACACCCAGGCCCTGGAGAAATACTGTCGGACAGAAGCGGGTTTCGCCGGGATCCAGGACGTGTACAGCAGCTTCCCCAACCACGACAACAAGCAGCAGACCTTCTTTCTGGCGGAGACGCTCAAGTGAGTCAGGGCTCAGTCACTGTTCTTCCCAGCGGACCACGCGGCTTTCCTAGGGAGGCGGGCGGTCAGCCGTCTGTCCCTTCCCTGGATCAGGGTCTGCAGTCACAGGAGGGGGCCCTAGGGGTGAGGCCTTAGCATAGCGAGACCCCCTCCCCCATGGGTGAGCCTTGGCCAGGCCAGTTTCTACTCAGAGTGAGACTGGGTTAGACTCTACCCCTGAAGTATTAGCTGCGGGACAAGTTCAGTTCTGTAACCTGTCTCCCTAAGTTCCATCAACCACGCTCCTTCTGCAAAGTAAGGAGAACGGTGATGGTGTTGATAGCTGATGACCTTCCTCGGCAGCACTGTCCCTTGCGCTCCTGCTGTTCCCAGAGCAGCACCCTGAGCCTTCACCCTTTAGGGTGGCCTGGAATGGCCCATTCCTTCTCATAAAACCCCCAGAGCTTGGGAAGCGGGGGTTCTGGAGTCACCACTCCCTGGTCATGTGAGTGCCGTAGCATGAGGGGCAACGGGAGCAGCCCAGGAGCCTGGACCAGCGCCAGCTCAGGCCGCCCACACAGAAAGGAGAAGGACTCCCAGAGCCGGTGGGAAAGGGCCGGAATGGAGCTGTTGGTGCCAGGGCTGGGGCAGGGCCAGGTTAAACCAGGGCTGTCTGCCCACGCCCAGCGCTCTTCTCTGTGTCCACAGCATCCTCCCTGGTCCCACCCTCTGAGTGGACTTGGGGTCTTGGCCCGCCCTGCACCCCGGGGTTCATTCCCAGGCCTGTTCCCAGAGCACTGACAGTGTGTCCCCCTCCCCGCCTGGCACAGGTACCTCTATCTTCTGTTCTCGGAAGACGACATGCTGTCCCTGGAAGACTGGGTGTTCAACACGGAGGCCCACCCGCTGCCGGTGAACCACTCGGACAGCGCTGGCAGGGCGGGGGGGCCACTCTGACCCCGGCTCCGGCCGCCCTGAGCCGCAGGGCGCCTCGCCTTTCCAGGTCTGGGGCTGTTCTCAAAGGGATTGGGAACGCAGGCCCCCCTCCAGACACGTGTGCTGGACACGCCTCTTCTTCTCCTCTGTGAGGAGATGGCCCGGAGACAGCGATGTCACACCAGGCCCACATTCCTTTCTATGGAGAATTTCTATGAAACCCACTCAGCTGCCATTCCAGGGCCAAAGGACTGGAGGTTTGCTTATCGACCCCGTGTATTTGGTTCACTTCCTTTCGCATTAGGGGTATTTTGGGTTTTGCTTGATTTTGCCTTTTCTCTACAGTTGTGTTTTATCACAAATTATAAGTTAGTTTTCAAAATCACATGCTTTCAAAAACCATCACCTTGATCCACTAAACCTTAAAGTATTTGTACATGTACAAAAACCTCGACCTTATTTCTATATTTTAAATGCCTCTTGCCCAGCATTTACTATTTGTTCTATTACCTGTCATTTACCTTATCATTTGAGGAGGAGTTCCCCTTTGATTTGGGTTTAAGTGTTACGAATACTCGTGCTATTTTCATTATTGTAATGGAGAAATCTGAAAACTTACAATAAAAGAGTTTATTGAATAAGAAATACGATTGGGTTCATTGCACATTAGTGATTCCTGGGAAAACTATTGCAGTGTTTTCAGAAAAATCAACCAGCAGTTGGTTTAAGGTATAATTTAGGAAATGACTCCAACTTCTATTACCTTCCCTTAAGGCAATATATTCGGAAAGGGGGAAAAGCTTTGAAAGAGTTGGAAGAGGCCCAGAGAGAGGCAGCGACTTGCCTGAGGTCACACAGCCAATGAAGGCAGAGGTGACCCAGCCCCTGTGACTTGCCCACCGCCCAGTCCTGAGTTCCTGTGCTCCGTCCCACAGCAGCTGCTCGGTGAGATGCCAGAGACACTGCCCTCAGGAGGCCCACAGGTCAAAGAGGCAGAAGCATAGTAAGTGGCGTGCCTGTGGGCTAGACTGTATGAAATGCCGCAAAGGAGACACACCGCTGAAGGACTAATGGCTAGGGCCTATCTTGGGAGTCAAGGAGAGCCTCCCTGACCAGATAGCCCTCAAGCTGAGACCTAGAAGCTAAGCAGAAACAGTGCGATGAGCACCCACAAATCCATCCCCTGTGCTGGCCTGAGGCCCCCTGAAAGGAATCCAGTCCCAACAGTGAAGTGAGCGCTCGTCCTCCGCTCGCTGTCCCCCTCCCACCCCCCACCCCCACCCCCGCAGCTTGTCCACCCAGCTCACTTCACAGGGACATGGTGAGCCCGGCCACATGCTCAGCTGCTTCCTGGTGGCTCTGTTGCGGACCCAGGAGCCCTGGGGAGGGGGCCGGAGCGGGGACTGAGCTCTCTGGGTCACCTTCTCCTGCTCCTCGCGTGGCTGCCGTGAGAGTAAGTGGCAGCCACTGGTGCCTGCGGGGTGGGCAGTGGGGGATGGGACTCTGGTGCCTGCGGGGTGGGGAGTGGGGGACGGGACTCTGGTGCGTGCGGGGTGGGGAGTGGGGACAGGACTCGGGTGCCTGCGGGGTGGGGAGTGGGGGACGGGACTCTGGTGCCTGCGGGGTGGGAAGTGGAGGACGGGATTCTGGTGCCTCCAGGGTGGGGAGTGGGGGACGGGACTCTGGTGCCTGCAAGGTGGGGAGTGGGGGACGGGACTCTGGTGCCTGCAGGGTGGGGAGTGGGGGACGGGACTCTGGTGCCTGCGGGGTGGGGAGTGGGGGACAGGACTCTGGTGCCTGCGGGGTGGGGAGTGGGGGACGGGACTCTGGTGCCTGCAGGGTGGGGAGTGGGGGACGGGACTCGGGTGTTTCCAGCTGCTTCTCACGCGGCAGCCAGAGCTGTCGGTGAGGTCCCCTGTCACAGGAGTCCTGGCCCTGGGCAAACAAGTCGCTGCCTGAGTCCAGCGAGTCACTTCCCTCCGGAACCCATGGCTTCGGTGGCTCACCTGTGCCCATGAACAATAAACAAGAACAGCCTCACTAGTTTGGCTCAGTGGATAGAGCATTGGTTCTGGTCTAGGGCACTTGCCATACCCTGGTTGGGGCATGTGCAGGGGGCAACCGATCGATGAGTTTCTCTCACATTGATATTTCTCTCTGTCTTTCCCTCTCTCTTCGACTCTCTAAAAACCAATGGGAAAAAATATCCTCGGGTGAGGATTTTAAAATAGAAAGAAAGGAAAACAGAAGAACACAAACACTATAGAAAGGTTAGAAAATGAAGATAAGCTTAAAGAAAAAGCATTCACTGTCCAGCCCTGCAAGGTGAATACCATTATATTTTCTTCTAGACCTTTTTCTGTGAATGTGCAGGATATATTTTTTGTAAATACTGTGCACCCTGTTAATACAATCTGCTTCTGTGCTAACCTATGTATTATGGACATATTTTAATGTCAGCAAATATATTTATCTCATTGCATAGTATTCCCTCATGTGCTGTCTCATGCAATGGGTTTAAGCCCCGATTGCTGGGCATTTGGGTTCTTAGCTACAAATAGAAGCCAACTCCCTCTGACATAAGCAGTAATATAATCCTATCTAATAAAAGAATGATATGCAAATTGACCATCATTCCAACACACAATGGCTGCCCCCATGTGGACACAAGATGGCCACCACAAGATGGCCAGCAGGGGAGGACAGTTGGGAGGGATCAGGCCTGCAAGGGAGGTCAGTTAGGGGTGACCAGGCCTGCAGAGGAGGGAAGTTGGGGGCAACCGGGCCTACAGGGAAGGGCAGTTGGGGGGTGAACAGGCCTGCAGGAGAGGGCAGTTAGGGGCAATCAGGCTGGCAGGGGAGCAATTAGGCATCAATCAGGCTGGCAGGGGAGTGATTAGGGTGTGATCAGGCTGGCAGGCAGAAGCGGGTAGGGGCAATCAGGAAGGCAGGCAGGCAAAAGTTGGGAGCCAGCAGTCCTGGATTGTGAGAGGGATGTCCAACTGCCCATTTAGGCCTAAGAGGGGCAGTTGGACATCCCTCAAGGGGTCTCAGATTGGAGAGGGTGCAGACTGGGCTGAGGCATACTCACCCTCCCAACCCCCAGCCCCGTGCATGAATTTTGTGCACCAGGCCTCTAGTAGTAGTGGTGGTGGTGGTAGTAGTAGTAGTAGTAGTAGTAGTAGTAATACCAGGCCTGTAGTAATAATAATAATAATAATAATAATAACAATAATAATAATAATGCTTTGAAATGCCTTGGGGGTGGGGAGGCTCCTAAAATCTCAAGAGAGTGAACAGCCAGACCTTAAGAAGGACGAGGAAGAGGATTTGTCTGGGGATCCAGGCTGCAGGAGCCAGGGGTAGCTCCCCAGGCACACCACCTGGACAGGTGAATCCAAGTGTTTCCAGATCCGGCCTTTTCCCTTCGGGACATGAGCTTCCAATTGGCCTGTGTCGTGTGCCCCAGCCAAGTGAGGGCAGGGATCTCGACTGGAGACAAAAATAAAGTTGAGCCAAAACCAGTTTGGCTCAGCGGTAGAGCGTCGGTCTGCAAACTGAAAGGTCCCAGGTTCGATTCCGGTCAGGGGCATGTACGTTGGTTGCGGGTACATCCCCGGTGGGGGGCATGCAAGAGGCAGCTGGTCGATGTTTCTCTCTCATCGACGTTTCCAGCTCTCTATCCCTCTCCCTTCCTCTCTGTAAAAAATCAATAAAATATATTTTAAAAAATAAATAAAAATTAAAGTTGATACCAAAGTAATAGACCTGCACGGGGCTGGGCACTAGCAGTGGACTGTTCAAAGGTTTTACTTCAGTGTTTTTCAGGATCATAAAGAGAGTTACGATAGCATAGTTGGCCATTCCTTTCCCTCTTTCCAGCTCCTCGGAGTCCATTCCTGGAATATCTCCGGACTGCAGAGTCACTGCCAAGTTCCCCGAGGCCCCAGGCTCCCTGCTGGGCCATGTCACTGTCCTCTCCTCTCCCTGCATCTCGTCTTCTCCATCTGCTCTTATTGCTGGGAGCGAGTTGTAAAATGAATATTTTAAAATTCATCCTCCGGGGGGGCCCTTGCAGGTGAAGAAACATCATCCTTTAGGCAATTTAGCTTCATGCCAGGGATAAAATAAATAAATAAATAAGACCCGGGGTATGCTGAGAGGAGAGAGGAATTAAAGGATGAGTCATGGTCACTGAAGCGGAATCCAAGCTCCAGAGCCAGGCCCTGCGTAGACCCTCCTTCGGAGCCGGGGTCACCGTGGTGCTGGGCTCATGGAAGCTTCCCTTTTGCCCTCGCTGTGACGGGGCCCCTTTGCACCTGCTCTCGTCATGTGACAGCTTGGTTCTGGTTCCTTCCCCGGAAGCATCACTAGCACCTGGCTCCAGGCAAGGAGGCTGCAAAGCATCACCCGCTGGGAAGAGAGGGACACGGTCATTTTCCAGATGCCTCCCTGTAAGTGACTGTTTGCGTGTCCGGGCTGGCTTCGCACACCGCATTGTGTCTTTGGCAAGTCAGAGTCCAATAGCCAAATGCCTTGAAAAGCAACGCGGAAGCCGAACATGTGACTTAAAGACAGCATCCCTGAGATCCAAAACGGATTCTCGGTTCTGTTCCCTGTGCTTGGGGAGGCCACGCTTCGTGGTTTGAGAAGGTGCTGGCGATGGGAAATGGGCCAGCTCCCCCCAGCTGTCCCTTTTGGGGTCTCTCCCTAAAAACACACTCCGATGCCTTTTATTTTGCATCTAAAGATACCTGTTTAGTTTCCTATATTTGGGACAATATATTGATCCCGCTGAGCCTGTCTCTTAAATCAGAGCTTCTCACACTTGAATGTGCACCTGAACCACCCGGGGATCTTGTTAACATGCAGGTTTGGCTCAACCTGTGGACCAAAAAGGGTCCCGGGTTTGATTCTGGTCAAGGGCACGTACCTAGGTTGCAGGCTTCTTCCCAGCCTGGGTCCTGGTTAGGGGAGTGCAGGAGGCAACCAATCAATGTGTTTCTCTCACATCGATGTTTCTCTCTCTTTCCCTCTCTCTTCCACGCTCTCTAAAAATCAATTGGAAAAATATCCTTGGGTGAGGATTTTTTTTAATTTTTTTTTTTAATGCAGGTTTGTATTCTGTGGTTCTGACGTGGAGCCTAAGATCCTGCACTTCCAACAGCCTCCCAGGAGATGCTGGTGCTGCGGGTCCCAGGACCAAACTTGAGGAGCAAGGCCTCAGTGAGCGGCCACTCCTTTGGTGTCTGCCTTGTGTCTGCATCCTGGAGTTGTAACCTCTCCAGAGTAGAACAGAGGGACTTAGACGTTGGGATGGCATCGATAGGTACCTTGGAAACAGGCGTGGCTATTGCCTGGCCAGCAGCTCCCCCTCCTCCAGGGCCATCAGGATAAGAAAGAAGCGGGCTTGCTGGTGGCTGGAGCCACACTGCCCAGCACAGCTTCCTGTGACAATGGAAATGTCCCATACCTGTGCCGTCCAGTGCGGTAGCCACATGTGGGTGTGGGGTGCTTAACATGTGGCACGTGCACCTAAGGAACGAATTTTTTTAAATATATTTTTATTGATTTCAGAGAGGAGAGGAGAGGAGAGGGAGAGAGAAACATCAATGATGAGAGAGAATCATTGACCAGCAGACTCCTGCATGCCCCACACTGGGAACTGAACCGTGACCTCCTGATTCATAGGTCAATACAACTATTAAGCCAAACTGGCCAGGCTGAGGAATAATTGTTTCGTTTTAATTAACTTTGAATAGCCACGTGTGGTTCCCTGGTCGCCAATCTGGACAGTGCAGTCTCAGAACTTAGAAAGCCTGTCCTCTCTCACTGACTCCCTGACCCTCCACCAGTGGCATCATTACAAAAATAATCTTCCCTTGAACATACCTGGTTATTTTTATACTCATCCCAGCCTCTGATTGTTTTCCGCCAAAGCCTCTAGGCTTTTATTTTGTTTTGTTTTCTCACTGTCTATCTGCAGACCACTGTGCATTAGGGCAGGCTGAAGATGAGAAAAGCAGAGTGGCAGGACAAAAGAAAACAAGAGCAGGGTGAAACGTTCCCTGTGCTGGGTGACCTGAGGCAAGGCCCTTACCCTCTCTGAGCCTCTGCTTCCCCATCTGTGGAAAACGAGGGTGATTTCAAGGGTTGAGCTCCCCAGTGTAGAAAGTCAATACATATAGCGATGATGGCTATTATGTGAATGTCCTTTGTAAACTATAAAGCCTTGTGAAAATATGAGGCAAAACATTGCTGTCAAAATTCCTTTTTTTTTTTTTCTTTTCTTTTTTTAACAAAATGCTCTGAAACCTGAAGGAAGCTGCATCAACCAGGCCCAGGAGACAGACCAAACTCTCAAAGTAATAAATCTGAGTGTTTCATGCCTTTCGCACTGAGCAAGCATCTTGTTGTTGGCCTGAATCGATGAAATTGGGAGGGAGATTTGTTGACTTTACCAGGGCCTTGGGGGTTGGGGGGTGCTCAGATCGGGGTGCAGGATTGAAGGAAGATGCTGAGAGCATCTGGCCGAGAGGTGTCTCTACTTTCAGGGAAGGTTGAGGTCCAATTCGTATTTCCTCTTCACAGAGTCTGGGGTCTTGACCAATGCTGTAGGCAAAGATTCACTGAGGAGGAAACTGAGGCCCAGAGAGGCCTGCTCGGGTCTAACAGCTGCTCTTGGCCTCGGGACAGCTCCCTGGAAGCCCAGAGCCGAGTCTCAGAAGCGATCCTTTCCCCAGAGGCTTGTAAACTCACCGTCCCAGCACCGCTGACCTTCCCCGGCTCTCCAGCCCTGGGTCGGAGCCGGCAGGGTGTCTGTGTCTTTAACAAAAAGCCAGCGTAATAAATAAAAGTTATCTGGTAAAGAAAACTCCCCTCGTTTATTATTTTCCAGGCGCTTTGGCTCATCAATCTTCCCCTCCTAACCTGCTTTGTGCTCTGTTGGCTTTGCTTCCTGATAGAACGGAATTTGCTTTTCTAACGGCATCTGCCGTATGCTGGGTGTCCCCAAACATTAATGGCAACCAGCTGGAAGAGGCGCAGTCGGAAGCCTTGGGAAGCCAACACCAGACGCCAGGCCCTCAGTGGGTGCCACTGAATGTGGGGCCAGAGCGCCGGGCAAGGGCTGGGTCCAGGACCCACACGTCCCGCCCTGGGAGTCATTCATCCAAAAGACACAGGCGTGCCCGCCATGTGCCAGGTCCCGTGTGGCGCTGCGTGCATGGTGCTGTCACGCCTGGTTACCCATGAAGGACAGCAGTGATGGGAGAGGCAAGCCCCTGACCCCACATAGTCATCCCCTGGGAGGTAACCATGGCAAGAGATCGGACTCGGATAAGCCTAGGTACCAGAACTCAGGCCCCTTCATTTTATTTTTAATATATATATATATTATTGATTTTTTACAGAGAGGAAGGGAGAGAGAGAGAGAGAGACCTAGAAACGTCGATGAGAGAGAA